GCAGGTACTGGATCTGTGAGATTCAAGCTCCATGATGAGTCAATAAGGTTATTGACTGAAGTCAGGTATGCACCTGATTTGAAGAGAAATTTAATTTCTTTTGGTGAATGCAACAAAAAGGGATATTTTTTTCAAGGAGAGAAAAGTATCCTAAGAGTCATGAAGGGGTCGAAGGACGTCTTGAGAGGCGTGAAAAAACAAGGCTTGTATACCCTTAAGGTTGAGGTTGTAAGTGGTTCGACAAATGTTGCATCCATGAAACCTGTGTCGAAGACAGAATTATGGCACATGAGATTGGGCCATGTTAGCGAAAGAGGCCTGGTCGAATTTGGGAAGCAGAACCTGCTGGGAGGTGACAACGTCGAAAAGTTGGAGTTTTGTGAATCTTGTGTATTTGGTAAATCCTGTAGGGAGAAGTTTAACAAAGGCAAGCAAAGAACACATGGATCTCTGGATTATATTCATGCCAATCTTTGGGGGTCTGCAAAGAATCCTTCACACTTAGGTGCAAGGTATTTTCTATCCATCGTTAATAACTATTCCAGAAAGCTATGGGTATTCATCTAGAAGACGGATGATGGAACTTTTGAGAATTTCAAAAGTTGGAAGGTTCTGGTCGAAACTCAAACTAGCAGAAAGGTTAAGAGGTTGAGAACTGACAATGGCCTTGAGTTCTGCAACGAAGCATTCAACAATTACGGTGTTGAGTCTGGGGTTGCAAGGCATAAGAATGTAGCAGGTACTCCTCAAAAAAATGGCTTAGCTGAGAGATTCAATTGAACAATCCTCGAAAGGGTTAGATGCATGTTGGTTAGTGCTGGATTGAAGAAGGTGTTTTGGGAGGAGGCTGTTTCGACAATAACCTATATGATAAATAGATGTCCCTCAACTGCCTTGGGAATAAAGACACCTGAAGAAGTTTGGTCGGGACATCCACCTAGAATAAAGCCCATTAGGTTAGCTTGTAATGGGTAATTGTTAAAAAGCCCATTAGGTTAGTGTGTTAGTTTTCTTATAAATAGCATACTAGTCTCTCATCTTGCATAAGAAAAAATAGGAATATAAAATCTTAATTTCAAGAGAGAGAGAGAGGTTATTTGTAATTTTGTTATACTTGTAATCTTGTTTGATAGAGAAAGGAAAGAATAACAATTTATAACCAATCCTTGTTGTTTCCCCTTGTTTTCTTTGTTAACTCTAACCCTTGTGTGTTTCTTGTCTATAAAGAAACCGTTTATATTTTATTTCAAAACATCCTATTCACAACAGATCGATATGCTTAATGTGAATGTGCAATTCATGTTAAGGTTTCCAAAGTATCCTAAAGGGGATTTTCCGGTTAACCCATTTGCATCCAATTTGCATAAATTGGTTGGGGCGAATCAAACCTAAAGCTTAGTGTAAACACACGCTTTGAAATTATTTTGTGCAAATTTCATAGTACCGTCTTCATCATCATCTTCTGGTTCATATTTTACAGCAGACCCCAACACAAGATCTAACAATCTTGAGGTTTGATTTTTGATATTAGATTTTGATCCATACTTTATTTATAATTAATATTAAAGTATACAACTTTAAAGAAGATAATAACAACTTTCAATGTCAACGAAAGGTACACAGATAATTCATATAATTTTAAAATTATGAAATTTTGATTTATGGATCTTTTTGTTTGTGGTTAATTTGTGACTACAACGGAGAAATGAACATTTGTGCTTTCTTATTCATCAATATGGTGAACGGTACATAATCATATTAAATAAATATGTCATTTATATGATGTTTTACATTCATGTAAAATATGTTGAAAATAATATTTTACATCAATATGTCATTTATATTATTCAAGTATGTGAATTTGAATAATTAAGAATATGTTTCGTTTATAGTGTATACTTGAATATGAAATACATGTTAAATATTATTTTTGGTGCAAGTAATTTGTTTTAATTAATAATGCATAAATTTTAGATAAAATAATTTGGTGAAAAAAAATCATGAATTTGAATGTATGGTGCATGTATTGGTAATATGAAATAATATAAATAAAATGTTAGAAATATTAAGGACATATTTAAATTGCATTTTAGTTTTTGCAAGAATTTATTACATTTAAAATGGTGTATCTCATATTATATGTGTATCATAATATGAAATAATTATTTTTGTTCATCCTGATATTAAAAGTAATTTGAATATATTTTATCTTGTTGTATGTTGATAAATGTTCATCGAGAAACGTTACAAGAAATATTAGTGATGTTGGTTTATTGTTTATTTTGTGATTCTTATTTGGATATACCATAAAACATTGTTATCTATGAAACATAGATTTATCACATAAAATTTGTGATCCATATGTTGGTCATGCAACTAATTTATTTTAAAAAGAATAGAATTATATGGTGTTGTATTTATATGAAGTTTATGAATTACATGTTTGAATTCACTTCATGAAATAAAAGTTAGTCATGACAAATTTGTTTGATTGAGGTTGGCAATTGCTATAAATATTTAATGGATTAAATATATTTCGGATATATTTAAGTGGAAGTAAAACTTCAAATTAAAAAGGTTAGCAAATGAAGAATGACATAAAATTTGTGTATATGACAAAATAAATGACAAAAGTGTCATGATGATAGTTTATCGAAACTATCAAGAATATATAACATATGTTGTATATGGAAATTGTACTAATATGACAAAAGTGTTATGATTTGATGATAGATGACAAATACTATCAATAGTACATAAAGTAATCATATGCATGATTAGTTAAAAAATTGAATATTCAGAATTTATTAAAGTTTGAAAATATCTAACAATTCTTTGACGAAAGGATTGACAAAGATATGATGTCTTTGGATATAATTGAATACAATGAATACATCATTAGGGATGCGGAACAAGCCCATATCTAATTAATCATCAATAGTGGAAACTCAACTCACACTTGATTAATGTTAAGTCTTGAGTTTAATGATGAAAGTGCACTATTATAGTGATTGAAGTACTTAATGATAGATACATCCCAAGGGGTAAAAGTACTTGGACCATAAGAATAAGTGTGGCGGGATGAGGTTTTTCTCTTAATAGGCATATAACATATGTTTGTTGGGATGCATAATTATGGGTGCATTTCTGATATAGTCTATCTATATGAGAAAGAAGTGGTGCCGATTCATAGAGTTTAAGGGATTGACTCTTAAATTCTCATGAAAAGGATATGAGACACAACACCTTATTAAATGTGTCATATTAATAATTCGATCAATGGTACCGAGATTTCATATGTGAGTTATGCACGATTGTTCTAATGAATAATTGGTTCAAAGCTTGTCTATCAATCTATTTGGGGATGAGTGAAAACTTAACTTACTAATTATTGGTTCAAATCGTAAGATACTTTTATCTGAAACCATGAAATTTCCTGAATAATATATTTAAATATATTTTGAAAATGGTGGGGGATTGTTGGAGAAATTTCCAAAATATTAAATTGATAAATAATAATGGTTAAATTAACAAAATAAATGGCCAAAAGTTGCAACTATTTAGAATAGAACCAGAGACCTTATAATGATTAGGTGTGTGGTCAAAAGGTGCAACCACCATATTAACACAACTTTTCATGAAAAAGTTTATGGTTATTGATATACAATGGTTCACGAATGGTCATGTTAGAATCAAATGAAACGTTGTTTTTCTACACCAATCGGTACAAGTTTTCTTATAAATAGAGAAACTTGTCAGTCATAATAAATATACATAAATAATATATTTTAGAGTCAAAAGTTATCTCTAAGTCATTTCTTTATTTTTCTTGTGCATGAGAACAAGTGAAGAAACTTTATTTTGTAAAATATCATTGATCAATATGTTTAATGTGAATATGCAATTCATGTTCACTATTGTTAAGATCGTGATCCAGATCGTGAAATCGCACGATTTTGCGATCTCAATCACCTCTACCGATCTGGATCGCAAGCAAAATTATTTTCATGCGGAAATCACGGCGAAATAAATGGATTTCGAAATCTGAAAGTAAAATCTCATATATTTTAGCCGGTTCAAGTGCGACCCGGTTTACAATTTGTGGGTTATAAATATGCAAATACCTATTTTTTCAATAGCTCTGAATCCTAATTGTTAGTCGTGGCGATATAAACTTAAAGCTTCCAAAATTTCACAATCGGAGAAGAAGATTTGAAGCTTCCAAAATTTCGCAATCGGAGAAGAAGACGTAAGCTTCTATTTTCGTTTTTGCACTCTGTGTTTGTTTTCACACTCTGTTTTCGTTGTTGCTGCGTTTTCATCTTGTTGTAGTAGTAGTATGATGCGTTTTCATCTTGTTGTAAGTTTTCATCTTACTGCGTTTTCATCTTGTTGTAAGTTTTCATCTTGTTGCGTTTCCACTAGTATCTATATTTTAATATTATTTATTTATTGGTCTTACCAATTTGTAAGTGATGTGATAAATCGTATAGTAGCACTCTATAGTATAGAGTCAGAGACTCAGAATAACTTATCTTTTTTGTTCTTATGATAATATTATAATAATATAAAACATGTATAATACAGATTACAGAATGCTACAAATATTTAATAATAGTATATACACGCACAATAAAAAATATACTCATAAAATTGGAAGAGGATTGACTACCATAAAATTACAACGAATGCAAGATAAAGATATTAAAAGTACTGTTTATTTTTTTAATAGGTTTTGTTTCTATACAGTATCTTTCTACTTATTTTTTCAATAGGTTTTGTTTCTATACTGTATAAAGTTGCACTTCTTAAGAAAATATAATATAACATATAACTCCTCCAAATGCAATTCTTTTGAAAATATAATATTTTTTTACACTCTTTCTTTTGCTTTTTTTTTTTTAAATTTTATATTACTATATGTTTTAATTTTCAAAAAATGTTTGTATTTTTTAATCTTTTATATCAAAGTTATTTATCATAATTTTTTAATGAGACAAATGGCTGGTGGTACTAGTAGTAGTATGTCACTTCCTCCTCCAATAAATTCAAGTATTAGAAATGTGAGAAATAAGAAAGTTGCAAAAAATGCTCTTGGTCAAAGACAAGATGTGGCATGGAAACATGGAACTCCCGTAAACGACGGATCAAGAAATATCAAGTGCAACTATTGTCATAGTGAGTATAGCGGCGGTGCTTTTCGATTTAAGCATCATTTAGCAGGGACAAATAGTAATGTCGAATCCTGTGTATCTGTTCCAGATGAAGTTCGTAAACAAATGTGGACTATTGTTCATAGATTGCAAAGCAAACTCATCAAGAAGAGAACTCTAAGTGAAGATATAGAAGTGGTTGATGTGGAAGATGGTAAAAGAAAAAAAGTTGAATCTTCAGGTCTTGCAAATATTTTCAAGAGGGCGATAACTTCTCAATCAACTATCAATGATGCTTTTAAAAAAAAGTGAAGGAGGACACTGACTTACAAGTTGCAACTTATTTTTACAACAATGCTATCTCCTTTAATGTTTTAAAAGATGAAGAATTTATAAAGATGTGTGAAATGATTGCCCAATATGGTAAATGATATAAGCCACCATCTTACCATGACATTCGAGGTAAACATTTAAAGAAAAAAGTTGAGTCTATAAATAGCATATTGGTGGAGCATAAAGCTGCGTGGAAAAAGTTTGGATGTAAAATAATGACGGATGGATGGACTGACCAAAAGAGGAGGACTATCATAAACTTTTTAGTCAATAGTCATATGGGTACTTTCTTTTTAAAATCAATTGATGCATCTGGCATTTCAAAGACAGCTGATAAAGTTTTCAAAATGATGGATGATATTGTTGAGGAAGTGAGGGAAGAAAATGTTGTCCAAATTGTAATAGACAATGCTGCAAATTACAAGTTGGCTGGACAAATATTGATGGATAAAAGGAATAACCTTTATTGGACACCTTGTGCAGCTCATTGCATTGATCTAATGTTAGAGGATTTTGAGAGCAAGATACCTATGCATAAAAAAATTATTGCTTCGGGTAAAAAGATCACAACTTACATTTATGCTAGGACCAGTCTTATAACTTTGTTACATCATTACACTGAAGGAGGTGAGTTGATAAGACCTGGAATCACTCGCTTTGCAACATCATATTTATGTTTGGGTTGCTTGAATGACAAGAGGGGAGGGTTGTATAGGATGTTCACTTCCAAGCAATGGAAGGATAGTCAATTTTCCAAGACAAAAGATGGAAAAATTGTTGAAAATATAGTCACAAACAAGGAATTTTGGAAGAGTTTGATTATTTGCCTTAAGGGTGCTTTTCCATTACTTAAAGTCTTGCGTATGGTGGATTCTGATGAGAAGGCAGCCATGGGCTGTATCTATGAAGCAATAGATTAGGCAAAAGAGGAAATACAAATTAGCTATAATAATAAGAAAAAAGGTATAATTTTATAAAATATCTTAGATTGATTTATTTGATATAAAAAATATATTAGTATTTATCTATGAACTAATTTAATCTTTTCTTTCTTAAGCTACCAACCTTTATGGAAAATTATAGATAATAGATGGGACAAACAATTGCGTAGGCCTTTGCATGTTGCCGGCTATTATCTTAATCCAATGATGCATTACAAACCTAATTTCAAAGCAGATAATAAAGTGAAAGAAGGAATGTATGCATGTTTAGAAAGGATGATGGGAGGAGACATGGATATGGTGAATAAAATTGATGGTCAACTTGAGAATTTTAAGAGTAAAAAAGGGTTCTTTGGAAGTGAAATAGCTCAACGTGAACTAAAAAACAAGACACCGACTCAATGGTGGGAATCTTACGGCGATGCACATCCAGAATTGCAAAACTTTGCTATTCGTGTGTTGAGTTTGACATGCAGTTCTTCTGGCTGTGAGAGAAATTGGAGTGCTTTTGAGATGATATGTTTTTAAATTTTTCATATATACTTTTTATAGTTACTATATGTTATAAATTTTGATTTAATATTTCCTCTTTTTAGGTTCATATGAAAAAAATCGGTTGAAACAAAAGACTATGAATGATCTTGTGTATGTGATGGTAAATACAAGATTGACCAAGAATAAGGCTGAAAGAAAAAAGCGAGATCTAACAATTGATGGTTTCCAAGATGATGACGATTGGTGGTATGTTGCTGAGGAAGAAAATGCAGGTGGTAATCACGTAAATGTGGCTGATTTAGATGAAGATTTGATGCAAACTGCTGGTGCTAAATCAACTGCACATGTAGATGAATTTGATGTCCTTGAAACTATAGAAAGTGACAATGAAGAAGGAAATACAAATGAAGGTGATGGAGAAGATGATAATGATAATGATTATGATGGAGAAAATGATGAGATTAATGCAGATGAAGAAGTTGACACTATGGGAAGAAATCTAAATTATCGACACATTTGTGATTTGTACTAGCCTCTATCATTTTGAGTATTTTATTTTATAAACTTTGTTATTTTAAGTTAAAATTTGAGATTTTTAATTTTATTGTTAAAATTTTAGGCTTGATGGTTTTATATTTAATATAAAAACTTATGCACTATTTAATATATATAATATAAAATATTTGAAGTATTATTTTTTTAGTTAGGATCTTATATTTTGCAATCTTTTTATCCCTTTTCGATCTTATAAAATTAATTGTATAAGATCTTCTGATTTTATATTTTACGATTTTAATGTCTCCTCTCGATCTCATGTAGGATCTCGATTCTAACAATATTGTTCATGTTAATGTTTTTAAAGTATCCTGAAGGAGATTTTTCGGTTAACCCATTTGTATCCAATTTGTCTAAATTGATGGAGGCGAATCGAACCTAAAGCTTAGTGTAAACACACGCTTTGAAATTATTTTGTGCAATTTTCATCGTACCGTTTTTATCATCTTTTTCTAATTCATATTTTGCAGCAGACTCCAACATAAAATCTAACAGCTTCACATATAGCGATATTAAGAATGTAATTTGAAACTTCAATTTTTCCGGCTTTTCTTTCAAATCTTCTTTATGGTGAAGATATTTAAGGATCCTTTTTAGTTCTTGAGGTGATGATAATAATTGGCTTTTTTTTTTTTTTAAGAATATCACACGTAAGGTTGGGAACGAAAAATATATTGGTTTTTGGCGAGACCATTGGATTGGAGTAGAACTTCTGTGTAATTAATTTGCAGATCTATTTGAGTGTTTGCAAAAGTCTAGAGTGAGGATTTGTGATGCTGGAAATTGAGTTTTGAATTCTTACAATCTCTTTCCTTATAAAAAATCAGTTTTAGCACAATCAATTTTCTACATCATATTCTTTCAAAATTAACTTTTATCAATAATGACCAAACATACATGCATGTGCTTATTTTGTGTCGGCAATGTAAGCTTTCAAGTATGAAAAATGAATCATTTTTAATACTAGTTTCTTCCCATGGCATTGCACGTGACCTAACAAAACATTCAACTAAAGTCAACATATCCACAATGTGCCTCTTCACATGTATAGCACACACTTGTTCCATTATTTCTGTAAAAAATCTCTTAAAATCAACAAGTGATAAAGTTATTGAAGATATTATAATTACATTATTCCTATTCATACACCATTTCTTACACTAATGTATATACTGTTTCTTACACTAATGTATATACTGTTCACCGTGTTTATACAGTAAACAATACATTTTTTAAATTAAAAAAAATATTTATGAACAATATTGTGAACACTACCATGAATAGTGGCTCGTGAACCGTGACCGTAAATAATTCTTTAAATTTGAAACAAAGTTGATTAATAAAATATAAAAAGTTAGTTAATAAAGTGATGAAATTGATTAATAAATGTCCAGATATTAAAAATAGTTTTTAGTAGTAAAATAAATTGATTAATAAAAAGTAAAAAATAAGTTATTGAAATTATAAAGTTGGTTAATAAACTTTCAGATATTAAATATATCTTTTAGCAGTAAACAAAGTTGGTTAATAACATATAAAATGTTGGTTAATGAAGTTATAAAGTTGATTAATCAAACAATTTCATATCAATATTATTTAATTTAAAAATAATTTTTTTTATATTTTAAAAAAATATATTTAATATTATAATATTTCAATATTTATCGTATTCGTAAACAGTAAAATATGAAATAAGTGTAAAAAATTATATAAAAATATCATTTCTTATATAATTAATATCGTCTTCCTTTATTTCATGAACAAACTGTGCCCATGCTGACACATGATACGATAGTATATCATGCTTTTTTAAAAGATAATCTTGCTGAATAATTTCAAATATAGAGATGAAGATTTTCTGCTAATAATGTCTGACATACTAAAAATAGGTTTTCTAATAAATATTTTATTAGATTTTATTTTCTGCAATATTTGTCCACATGAGATATAATACTTTCATTGGAAAAGAAGAGGAATACAATATGACACATTCTGATAGAACATAGAATTATATTTAAATTAATGTAACTATTACGCAAAAGTGTGACTAAAGTGTTTAGATTATATAAGTTTCAATTGTTAATAACATATACCTTTGCCTATATAAGCAATTTGAACTTTTTTTACATGATGTGAGTTATGTTTTCAAATTTAAGTAAGTTTCTGAATTTCATATGATGCATCTATAATAGTTAAATATAAAAAATCTATGGTTTGTACACAGTGCGGATTCAGAAATATTTGGCAGTGCGACAAATCTATTGTCTAAGATTAATTAAAACATATATTTTATATTTTCAAAAATTATTTTGAAATTTTCAAAAAAAAAATCTATATATAAAACAATGTTTTTCTTTTACTTTACCTCTTACGCAATGTTTTTTATAAATCTATAAACGAATCAATGATTAAAATTGGTGTTAGTTTATTTTACTTTACCTCTTACATAAATATTTTTATTTATTTTTTAATGTTTGGTTCACATAGAACAAAATTTTATGGGAATAACTTTAAATATTAAATACATTTTGATCTAGTATGATCAGAATTGATCGTCGTGATCTTCAACGTAAGACAATAATAATGATTGTAGGAGAGGAAAGAGTGTATCTGCAAGGTACTCCGATGCTAAAGTAAGTAATAGAGAGAGAAAAAAGGCAAGTACAAAGTGTTTAGGTTTGTGTTAGAATGAATTAGATATCTGACCCTCTCAAGTAAGAGGGTATTTACAAGAAACCCCAGCGCGAGACCAAGGTCTTCATTGTGGGGCAGAATATCTGTTCCGCCAATGAGAGACTACCAGGTTTGCGATGAGCAAGGAAGATTCTAGCGCGTGATCTTCGACCTAGTCCAACTGTCCCCATGAACTTCGGAGGGGCAGTTGGTCGCGTGAACTGTGGAACGCGTGAGGGGGAGGTCCCCAACGGCTATATCGTATCCAACAGTCATATTGTGCCCAACAACTAGATTGTGTTAATCTCCTTGTTG